GTGATTTCTCTTTAAGTTTTTCATCTTGTCTGTAAAGAGTCTTTCCTTGGAGAGGAGACTTTCCCAGTGAAGGTTCAGAAATGATCAGATTAAGGGTAGGGAACATCACGTGTGTCAAATGGCCCCGGGTCTCTATTCTTTCTTCGTTGTATTCCTTCTTCATTTCACCCCCTCCACGCCACCCCACGTTGCTCTCTCTCCTCACGAGGCACAGGGAAGCAGACATCACAGGAATGCTCTGGAGGAAGGAGGATTTTGAAGGTGGGGGAGTCTTTTTCATTTTTTCCCAGAGAAATCCATTTCAGCTGCACATTTCTCATGGCTCATTCTCTCTGTCTAATAACACACCACTTGATGTAAATTTTCCCCTTTTCCATAAAAAAAAACACCTTCAAGCTTAAAAATAAAATATGCACAGAACCTGAGCTTATCTTTGCCCGTATAAAAATAGCATTACTATGCTAATTCGTATACAATGGTTCCAACAAATAAAAACCAATAAAGACATTACTGTGTCAGTTAAAAACTTTTAATAAAGCAGTTTGAAATGCCTTTGGTTTAATGTAATTGCTCACACGCAGGAACTCCGTATACACTAATTCACAATGTGTGATTCAGGACCAGCGAGGAATCAGAAGATAATGGGCATATCGTTCTACCAGACTCGGCTTGGAAACATCTGTTACTATGTTCCTGTGCCTGAGCTCTTGGGCTGGTCTCGCTCTCCCATCTTCTTTTTAACTGAGAAAACCACCCCCAGGACTTCGATTTGGATGGGTCTTCAAGGTCATGGGTCTTGTCTAGTCAACAACACAGTCACGAGGACATGTTCATTGATTTTAGCAAGAAGGAAGGGAGGAAGAGGGAGAGGGAGAGGGAGAGAAACATCGATGTGAGAGAGAAACATCGGTCATCTGACTCTTAATACACGTCCCCAACTGGGACCGAACTCACAGCCCAGGCATGTGCCCTGACCAGGAATCTAATCCATTTCCTTTTGGTGTCACAACTAACTGAGCCACACTGGCCAGGGTCATTGGTGCCATTGTTTTGATTTCTGCTTCGGGTCTGATCAACCGCCTGAATAGATCAATTATAGACAAGGCTAATGAGTGGGAGGAGCCACAGAGAGTTGGGCTAAGGGCTGTGAATGATTTGCTCTCTGTGAATATGATGCTTAAACCAAATACACAAACAAGGGGAGAGCAGATTTGATACACGTGTCCCCATCCTAGGCATCCAACTTCTGTTCACCCTGGCTGTAAGTTCAAAACTATGCAAGAACCCAGAATCACTAGTTTATTTACTTAGAACTTTAACTTTGAAAAAAAATAAAACAGAAAACAGCTAAATGGCACTACGGTTTGGAATAAAATTCTAACACATACCTCCTGTGGAAGTAAACATCCATGAATTCCTGTTCATGTACTTGTGCCAGTGCTCAGAACACCCCTGGATAATTCAATTGTGTTTGTGATGAAAGACAAAAATTATCTTCATATACTGCCACTTTTCTGCTTAGTTGCTACAGATCTCAGTTCATATCACAGCCTCGCCTGTGTGACTGAGCAAGTTAATTAATCTCACTGGGCTTTGTCTTAGTATGAAATGGGCATTATTCCTATAACATAGAGATCCTCTAAAGATGAAGTACATAAAGATATTAGCGTAGTTTTGGGTTAAAATGTGGTTTAAAATGCCAGTGAGCGTTACCAGTAGGGCTGCTACAGAGGGATGGCCTCTTACGGTTTTGGTGTCAGCAGGTGGTCAAAGACCGTGGCTTTGGCCATTGAACTTCTCACAGCTGCCGCCGTTTAGCCCTCCCAGCGCCTCCCATCACCGACAGCTCACACCTGGTCCCCAGCCACACTGGAGTACATTCCTGAGCTGAGACTTTGCATACGATCCTTCTCTGCCAGAAATGCTCTTGTCCTGGGACTGCACGTGACTCCCTCCCATCTTTGAAACACAGCCTGGTGCTCCCCGGGGAGACTCTCTTGGGTCACGAATCTTGTCGAGGCAGATGCATCATCTGGATTGAAATCGTGGCTCACCCACGCTAGCCCCGTAACTTCCGACAAGTCGCTTAACCTGGGAGTGATACAGAGTCCTCTCTGTTTTCCTCCACCCCAATCCAATCCGTCATTAGTCTGCTTGGCTTCACTCTAAGATGCACTTTCAAACCACCGTGGATCAACTGTGGCCTCTTTTCAGGAGTTCCTGCCCAGCCTCCCCGGTGGCGTTCCTCCCAGCACTCATTTAGCACAATCAATGAATATCTCCTTTATGTATTTACTTATTTATTTTCTGCCTCCACCACCAGAATGAAAGCAGCAGGGATACTGTACGTCTTGTTCTTCTATGGATCCCCAGGGTCTTCTAAAATGAAGCTTCTAAAACTGGCTCTCGGAATAGTTGTCGAATGCATGGAAAAATAAATAAACTAGTGAATTCAAACAAAACTCAAGAGCCTCCTTCTTTGTCACTATCCTACTTCCTCTCTCAGTTCCTCCACAACTCAAATCAGCTTGTTTTATTTTTATGGAATGTATTGGGGTGACGTTGGTTACTAGGATCGCGTAGGTTTCAAATGGACATTTTTCTCTGACACCTGATCTGTACATTGCACTGTGTGCCCACCACCCAAAGTCACATCTGCTGCTGTCACCATACACTTGACCCCCTCCACCCTTCACTACCTCCCCATCCCCCTTTCCCTCTGGTAAGCACCATATTGGTATCTGTGATTTTTTGTTTTTTGGTTTGTTTGTTCATTTGCTGCCTTCAGTTTTATATCCCACATATGAGTGAAACCATACGGTTCTTGACTTTTTCTAACAAAATCGGTTTGTTTATCATTTACTTCATGTTGTCTGTCTCTCACCTACCAGGACATAGTTGTCTGAGAAAGGACATCTCGGTGTCTTGCTCTGGTGCCCAGGACTGTGTTTGGCATGTGGTAATGGCTCATTACGTATCTTTTGAAAGAATACATGACTATTATTACCTAGGTCTGCCTCTTCTTTTATTTAAAAATCCACAGACACTTGTTCTTTTTGAAAGGAGGACAGCTTTATTCAAGGTAAATATTCTCCCATTTACCCTGAATATAGTTTGCTAGCTTCCTTTCTGTTTCTCTTCAAACTTGAGCTTTCACAATGTAAAATATCAATTTTCCTGCTCTGCTTTGTGTTTTAAGGTGTACAAGGTATAGGAGCTGCTTAATCGAGCTCCAAAGGCAGGCGCCCTGCTCCTCCTGCTTTGTGGTACATGCTCCATCGGTGAACCAGCAAAACATTCGGCCACACGTGTATATCAGCAAACAAATGCGTTTATGGAATGGAAGTGTATGCGTATACTAAGTAAACTCTGAATGTCTATTTGAATAGAAAAAAACTTGTGGCTCTGTCTTTTTAGTCCTCAAGACATGAAACCACACTCTATTTGACACGTTGGTACTTTAAAAATCAAGGTCATCCTTCATAGTTTTGTGAATGTTTTGACTATATCTCAGCCCATTTATCCAAAGAGCAAATTAAAATAAATATTGTTACCTGAAAGAAGCATCTGTGGTTTTATTTGTTTTTTAAACCCATTTGGATGTTCCCCCTTTCCATGAAATTGCTTTCAGTTTACTGCCAAATAGAATTTGCTCTATGCTACTTGTAGATGAAATCACCCTCAAGTTCATTAATTGTTTTGTAGAAATCACTTTTCTCAAGAGACATCAATGTAGCCATATTGTGAACTAACTTATAATATTGCTTACAGTTAAATATTGTATTCTTGATAACTTTATTGATAGGGGTTCCTTTATTTAAAGACCCTCTTGAAACACATAACATATCTACAATAACTATGGTGAACTTAGGAAAGAATGAAAACTTTCCAACTGGTGGTTTGGACAACCAATGCTCAGCATCTCAAGCAGGTTCCATACAGAGCAGGAGTTCAGTGAATACTTGTTAAATGAACCTTTAGCAATGTTGCCGGTCTTTCACACACACTGTCATTTTCTGACCTCATAAAGTCTTGACATCAGTACTTAAGCTAGTACATTTTATCTTAGAGAAGAAACAAAATCCATGGGCAGAAAGATACGGGATCTTTCATACATACATGTCTGGAAGTGCCAAATATCCTAAAGTTTCAAATGCTCATGATTTCGAATGCCAGGTGTACTTGGGTGAAGGTGCTGATGGAATCTCTGGGTCTTTTTCTATTCTTTTCTTTTTTTTTTTCATAGTACAGCATCTTAAAAGGTCTCAACCAAACAAAAAATGAAAAAGCTCTGAAGTGGTGACTATGACAATAATTAAGAAAATGCAGAAAGGGCACCGGTTGATTTTTAAAAACTATTTTAATACAAGATTAATAGCAATTTTCTATTCAAATCAGAAATGAAAAATCTTAACCTAAATCATATTCATTGGACAGTCACATAAATTGTAGGTTTTATCGGTGCACACGTTTTTCCTGCGTATATATGATGCGTATGGACACAGAGACCTCACTTCTAGACCATTGTTAGGTTCCTTTTCATGGAAGTACCTCCTAGCAAGGCAAGGTCAAGGATTCCAGCAACTTTCCAGCTCTGAATGAGGTTCACACGGCCCCACGCTAGGCTGAGTCCCCGTGTTGCAGCAAACCAGGATCCAGCAAGGCTCCAGAATGCATACCAATCAATACTCTATTTGTATAATTTGGCGTGAAACCAAACACTGGCTAATGTCCCCGCTGAGGAGGAACATATTGCAAATTTATAAGTTATGGTCTCCTTTACTCTTCTGCTGTCAAAGCCAAACTGCCATTTTTGGTTTGTTTGCTCATTTTAAAGTTAAAATTCAGGTCTGTGAGTGACTGTGAGTAAATGAAAATGAATTTGAGTTTCTGCTAGTTTTGGCTCTGTCAAAACTTGCATTTGCTAACACTTCCACATTTAATTAAACCACTTGACAATTAGCCTTGCAAATAGAAGTAACAAAAGAATCACAACTCAGGAATTTGCTAGGTTTTTATTCCTCCTTGGGGACTTTAGTTGGTGTTCAGTGTGTAGCCAAAACATGTAGGTAATGGCTAAAGAATTAAAACAGGCTAAGGTCTGCAGCAGGGAACATAAATTAAATACCAGGGTTCTGCATCCAATAATATTTTCAGTGTGTTTGAGTTATAGAATGTTACTTTTATAATTAATACAACGTGTCAAGGAGTAATTGTGTTTTTCAGTGTAGACAAAGTAGTATTTTCTCTTCCTTACAATGAAAACAGGTAACAGAAGCTACGTGTCTGGATAAGCCGCTGTAAGGGAAGTCAGATCGCTATTGCTATCGTTGTTCTAGGACGGCTATCAGCAAAGTGCCAACTTGACCTTCGTTGAGGTGACAGAAGGTTGCCATGGCTGTCCAACACAGAACCACAAGCAGAGCTCTCCTTCATGAATTCGGAATTCATCCTTCTCTGCTAAAGACTTTAGCCCCTGTTTAGCTTTTGTTATAACACATACAAAGTATAATATACACCAATTACAGACGTGTATTTCTGTTAGAAAAATACATATTATAACTAAACATGTAAATAGAGGCACTTCAATAAGCTAAGTGTTTGCAGTTGTGAGCATCACCCGACAATTGCTAGTGTCCGACTTCAGGGAGCCCATTCCTCTCTATCTGAAACAGGGTTAAGATGTCATCACAGAATTTAGGGAACATAAAAGCAAAGAAGTCGGTTGTGAAAAATAATGGAGCTTCCCTGCTTCCCATCATGATGCTGAAATGAGAGGGATTAATTTGGCCAGGGGTGGAGTGGGGCGAGGTGATTCCAAAATAGGGTAAGTAGGTTAAATTCATTGTCAGAAAGCAAAAAAAAAAAAAGTTAAAATACCCTGAAAGTCATATGACATATTAGGATGATGATAAAATCCAGATAGTACAATTTGAGTGACATTTTGGCCACATCCATGCAGGTGGCTAATACTGGGCCATCATTAACTGACAGTCATTTCAGCTCTGCCTGGCTCAAAGGGATCACTCTATCTAACCAGTAGGAATATTGTTAATAACTAAGGTGTTGAAACCAGTGAAGCAGGTGTTTATATCTCATCTGTGTGTTTTGCATGTACAGAAGCTGTTTTTTTATTCATTAATATAATGTGTGTTCACACACATGCACAAAACCATTCTGGGGTGAGAGCACAGGGAAAATGGGGCATTCTGACCTATTTCACAGAAGACGATGCAGACACATTTTACAAAGGAAAGATTTGGGGTTTAAAGCCACAAAAACAAATTATTACTCAAACATTCTGGCCAATGAAGGTTGATTTAATTTGTATTGCACCTTAATTATTTGGAGAAAGACAAACCTGATTTCTGAACATACGACACAAGGGGCAACGTAAATGATCGGTCCTTCATAGAGATGCTTTGTGTGTAATTGGTGAAAGAAAGCTGGGGTTTGGCAGCGAAATGTTTTTCTAGATGTACGGAATGCTGAATTAAGCTAAGTGTTAATTTCATAAAGATTTAAGTGCAAAGATATCACAAAGTCTCTCAGAATCCTATGTTTTATAGTTCATTAGGCATACCCAATAGCAATAGAGGCTTCTAAATCCTTTGTTTTTGCAAAAGTGCTCAATTATACTTGATCCTATTGTGCCGCATACATTCTACTTTAATGGGATGACTAAATCAATAAGTAATTATAATTTTGATGAAAAGAGGGATTGAAAAATACCATTTACGTGTCATTACCATCAATGGGTTAATTAAAATGTGACTAGCGTACTAGGATGTTTTAAAACACTACTTCTCCCAACCCCAGATGAATCATAAAAACCGAGAAATACATGGACAGCCAACCATATTCGTAAAGTCCCATCCTGGTTTATTTTGCTCCTCTCTGTCAGGTGGAGTGCACGGCCTGGCTTTGGCAGGCACGGTGGATTGGGGAAGCTGTGCCTCTGAGTTGGCCGCTTGCATTAGGACATTTCTCCAAGTGCCACGCAGGAATCCTAAGCTGAAGGTGTTGTATGTGAAAGCAATGGTTTTGCGTGGATAACACATTCTTTATGCACACAGTTTTCATCACCAGTAAAGTCCCAGACGCCCATGGCCCTCTTCATGAGCTCGGTCTGTTCTGGAGCATCCAGGACAAAGCACGCTCATGCAAAAAGGGTGTGCCCTGGCAAACTCTTAATAAATGGACAGTTAGATACGTAAAAAGATCTCTTTCTTGATTCTTGGTGCTCACAGACCATTGAAGTATCCCTTCTCTGAGCAGCGCAAAACAAGAAGAGCTGGTTGACAAAACATTTTCGTTACAAAGGTGTGTCAACCCTGAGCTTGGAATTAAGAAGTTAAAATCTGTGATTTTATATATATATATATATATAGATATAGATATAAAAATAGATGATCATACTAAGACTAAAAAAGTGAAAGAAATCTCCATGTCAATACTATATATATATTTTTTGTCTTGACTTTTTCTGTTGTGAGTTATTTTCTAAGAGAATGCCCTTGTAATACAGAAACCAAATGATACCAAGCTATAGCTAAACGTAAAAACTCACTGATGGATCTAATTGCTTATCAGTTCATTAAAATAACCCTTCCTTTGGGAGGGGAATGAGCACAGGGGCAGAGACTGAATTGATGTGCAACCTTCTGGAAGCAAAGCAATTGGGTTGTTGACAATCATTCTCAATTCAGACCCTGGAGGGGGATGAATTGATGGGGGTGTCCGCTAGTAACTGAAGATGAAGGGGAATATCTCTGCCAATTGGATCCAGTGGACAGACGTGAAGAGAATTAAGGAGCGTGGTACTATTACTGCAACTGAAATTGGGTAGGGTGAGCGAGAGGTGCTGAGTTGTAGTAACATTTTGTGTGACATTGAAGATAAAAGTCTAAATTTAGTATCCGTACCTCTGAATCAGTTTTGTGTTGTGTGGTTACAGTGCAAGACAACACCTCCAAGACAACAGTGTATTTTCACTACACTACAAACATTTTCAAACTTTCTCCCCATCCCATTTTTTTTTTTAAACCTGATTGATTAGTCACAGAAAAGCGTACACTGGGAGTTGCCTGGCAATGCTGACCTACAGCGTTAAAACTCTTTTATTTTTCTCTCTTGTTTGCTTCTTTGTTGAAAATGCAAGTTGTCTTGGGGTTTGGCCTGATTTTACAAAGAAAATTATTTTCTTCTCATTTTTTTAAAAGTTGTTACAAATGGGGAGAAAGAAACTCACAACGTGAGATTCCTTTACTTCTGCAGCATCAAAGCAAATGAAGGTAAGAAAATCTCCTGGTACGAAAGATTTGAGTAAGAATTCTCTAGAATAAACAAGGTCCCCACAGAGAGCGCAGGAAAAGAGGACGCAGTCCCGTCTGGCACCCGGTACTCTTTGGGAAAACAAAAGCGAGGCAGAGTGCAGTACTGCTCTTCTCATAGAAACGGTAAGTGTTTGTGGCGTGGTCCATTGTCCAAGGGTGTAAGAAAAGAAGTGAGTCGGCTGTTCAAAGAGCTAAAACGCAGTTTCATCGGAGCAAACACCCAGGATTATCTGCAGAGTCTCTGCAGCGCCAGGGCGACGCAGAGCAGAAATGTGGAGAGCAGGGAGGGGCCGAGCTGGGATGCAGAAGAGTCTACTTCTCTCCGGTCGGGGTCTACTGCAGGGGCCTCCGTGGTGACAAACTCAAACTCCGTGGGACACACGTCATCCATGCACCCACTGCCACTCCCAGAGCCGCTGGATTCCTCACCTGGAGGTGGGCAGATTGACAAAGAAAGTTAGACCACAACCTGGAAAGGCGAGGCACGTAGTAGGTTTGGGCGTGGTCATGGGAGGGACCATCTCCCCACCGAAGGCCTCCCCGCACCAGACCGCAGCAGGTTTGCTTTTTAATGGACAGCTTTATGATGGGCAGGTGGATGGCATGAAAATAGATGTAGGAAACACAGTCACATTGATCTCCAGTTACCCAGCTAAGGAACACGTGACTTCCAGACCTAAGGAAAAGCCCTACCCACCATGTTGGCTTTGGAAATGTATTTCTTATTGTGGCCAATATTTAAATTACTTTAAGAAATTCCATTCTTTGCTCTTTTTGTACCTCAGAGCCATTGTTCTTAGTGATTATCATGCTGTTAAGAAATGATTTCGGAAGGGTTTTTTATTCTATTTTATTTTAAAATATTTTATTTCTTTTCAGAGCCAGGGGAAGGGAGGGAGAGGGAGAGAAACATCACATGCCCCAGCTGGGGGTCCTGGCCCACACACCAGGCATGTGTGCTCACCAGTAACCCAACCAGCAACCATTTGCTTTGTGGGACAATGCCCAACCCACAGAGCCACACCAGTCAGGGCTGAAGGATTTTTTAAAGTAAGGCAGCATAAAAGGGGAACCGTTTTGCAGTGTTGGTGGGAATGTAGACTGGTGCAGCTACTGTAGAAAGCAGTACGGAAACACCTTAAAAATTAAAAGTGGATCTGCCTTTTGACCCAGTGATCCCACTTCTGGGTATATATTTAAAGGAACCCCAAACACTAATTTGAAAGAACATAGCACCCCTACGCTCATTGAAGCTTTATTTACAGCCACCAAGATATGGAAGCAGCCCAAGTGTCCACCAGCAGATGAGTGGATAGAACAACTGTGGGACATTTACACAATGGAATACTACTCGGCCATGAAAAAGAAAATTTTACCCTTCGAGACAGCACGAATGGACCTGGAGAACATTATGCTAAGTGAAATAAGCCAGTCGGAGATAGACAAATACCATGTGATTTCACTCATATGTGGAGTATAATGAACAGATTAAACTAATAAACAAAACAGAGACAGACTCAGAGAGAGAGCGGGATGACAGCCAATGGGGGCGGGGCAGAGGTTAGGGGTGGAGGGATGGAGCAAAAAGGAAAGGACTCATGGGCATGGAGAATAGGGTGGTGACTGCAGCGGGGAGGGAGGTAAAGGGGCTTAAATGGTAGTGGGAAAAATACAGTAAAAAATCATAAAACACGACAGTGTCGGGGAGGAACAGTGGAGGGAAATGGACACCGCGAGTGGGAAATTAGAGGGGCAGCAGCACACAGCTGTGGAAGGCCGTACCATTACTTTTGACTGCTTCCCCCCCCCCCCCCCCCCGCCTCTGTTCTCCCGAGAGCAAGGTTAGACTTGGTTTCAATTGGCCCCTCCCTTTAAACCAGGGCTGATTAATCACGGTTTTCAAGCCGATCTGGCTTGCTGCTTGTTTTTGCACGACCCACAACCCAAGCAGTGGTTTTTATGTTTTCAAGCGTTTGGGGGAAAAAATGAAAAGTAATATTTGTGGTATGTAAAAAGCATGCATGTGGAATCTACAGTTCAGTGTCCACAGACAAAGTTACAGGGGAAATGCAGCCATTCACGTACACATGGTTTCATCCCGGGTTTACGTACAGACCTCAAAGCTGAACGTAATTTAAGAACTGATCCTTTACAAAACCTGTTTGCTGTTTCCTTCTTGAAAGGAACGCCTCAGGGCCCAAATGCCGTGTGATCTCAGAGCGGCCACTTCCTGGCTTGCCCGGCACGCCTCTGGGCCCGCTCTGTTCTCAGGTCTTCCCGCTGGGCTCCTTCCAGTTTCCTGAACCCTGTGTCTCAGACCTGGGTCCAGATCAGGCTGCATCCACTTCCTTGCTGTGTGCAAGTATGTTTTCTGCTTGTCGTCCTGTTTCCTGTTAACCCCTTCCATGAGGGTGCAAACTTGTTGAGGGCAGAGACTTTGTGTAACTGTTCAGTTCTGATCCCCATGGCCTTTAAGTGGTCCCTGGCATACAGCAAGTGCTCAATAAATAACTTGCTGAACATATAAATGTGCCTTTGGCAGTTTACCCGACTTCTGCCAGTGTCCTGGCATCTCATGCAGTAAGGACAATAAGATTTACTCGGCAGACTCTGTGTGAAGACACCCTGATACTATGTGTGCGAGCGCCAACCCCAGCTCTTGCCATGATGCCTGATGGTGGCGGTGGGGAAGGTGCCAGCCGCAAAGACAGCCTAGGTTTCAGCATGCCGTATTTCCTCAAAGTGATCTAGGGTCAAACAGTTAGCCTTGCTGAGGCTCTGTGTCTTCTCTAAAAAACGAGAATAAACCTCTTTTGCAGAATTGTTAAGGGGTCTGCATGAGACAGTGTTCCTGGGAGGACTCAGGACATTGTAAACCTGGTAATGACATTTGCTATCCCCCCACACGATCAGTGATTCCACCCCTTAGCCCCAACTCCTCCTTGCTGGTGGCTAGTGGTGATGGGATTGCTAAGCTGCTCCTGAAAGTCCGGTGCCATTTCAGCTGTTTGATGCTGCACAGGTAAAGCTAAGGTAACGTCTCCTGGATGAGAAAGGCACGACTCATCACAATTTGTTTTTAAGGGACATCTGAATGTCCCTTAAAGCAGGCAAGATTGCTTGACTACACTACAGCAGGTTCTTAACATTTTCTCTGATTTATCTTTAGTGGCCTTTACAAGGGGGAAAGGCCCATTAATTAAAGCTAGAGGTATCAGACTTGCTAAGGGGACTACTCTAAACACAAGTATTATGAATGAGAAGTAATATAACCTTTACAAAGATATGATTAAAGAGGTTTAGAATATTAAAATGTGGTGAGCAAATAATGACAAGATTTCAGATGAGAAAAGTAATGGCTTCACCTCTTTCTGAAAAGGTATCACAAGTGCAGGGGTGATTTTTTAAACTGTCAAAAGGAAGAAGGGTGATGACAGAAGATGTCATAATGGTTTGTGTCCTAAAATAAAGGGTCAGATTTGGTGCTGGGGCTACAGTTAAGTGACCTTCTCTCTCTCTCTCTCTTTTAAAATAGTTTATTAATTTTTAGAGAGAGGGGAAGGAGGAGAGAAAGGAAGGGAGGGAAACATCAGTGGGTGGTTGCCTCTTGTGTGCCCGCAACTGGGGACCTGGCCCGCAACGCTGGCATGAGTCCTACACTGGGAATTGAACCGGTGACCTTTTATTTCACATGCCCGAGCTCAATCCACTGAGCCACACCAGCCAGGGTGTGACTCCCTGTCTTAACTGTTGATGACTTTTGTTTCCTTTTGCAGTGACACTCTCCTCAAGGACATTCCCTAAGCATGGCAGATTGACATGTATACAGCCTCCTCAGGTCAGAGAGGAGAAGCAAGGCCAACATCAACTAATTGTTATGCATCTTGAATAATTTATTCCAACAGTCATTATCCAGATAATGAAGCATTTGGTTAGCTAGAGAAGAGAGAACAGATACATTGAGATGAGTGAGGACAAGCAAGGAGAAAGGGAGAAGCAGAAAAGGCTAAAAGCTTGTGTAAGATTTTCTCCTGAAGAGAAACGGAGAGGCTTAGTAAAGAGAGAGAAATAATGGGATGAGCCTGAGAAATTTTAGAGCAATGAAGTCTATCAGGTTGGCAATTATCCTGTGTTTAGAAAACTAATTTTTGTTATTTAAAATACAATGAAGTGCTAAACATTTTCTGCAGGGGACAACTCAGGAGGATGATGGCTAAGACTTAGATGACTTAATGTCTTCCATCTGTGACTGCTTTCTGTCTCATTAATTCAAGCACACAAGCATCATCTTTTGCTGATTTATCTTTCGAATATCAGTGGCCAAACTGTAGAATCACTGGTAACTCTGCACCTCATGTTCAGGAAATCTTTTCCTGAGAACTCTCTCTGTAAGGGCACTTACTAAAAAACCACAAACAACCAAAGCAAAATAAAAAGAACTTGCCTTAATAGTTTCATGTCAATGTTCACTTAATCACATGTCTAGTCACTTTTTATGCTTTTATGATATTTAATACAGTAGTTGGGCATCATACTGCATCTATATTTTACTATTTCTCTCAATAGTTAGATACAAATGTCCACAGTTCCTTATGTGTGTGACTGGATAAGGAGACATCCAATGTAGTCGAATCCATAGCACATGAGATCTTATCTTAGCTCTTTTAAATGTGGCCTCTAATGATTCACTTCCCCACAACCTCTTAGGCAGGGCTGCTTCTCATTCTATAGGGCAGGAACCTGAGACTCTAGAAATAATTTGTTAAAGACCCCAGCTCATGAGTGACAAAACAGAGATTCTAGCTCAGCCTTGTCTGAGCAATTCTTAGAACATTTTTTCTGGCTGTTGAAAGTGGGAGAAGGGGCCAGGGTTTGGGGACAGAATCATAAATGTTGATGGGGATAGGAGAAAGTAAAAACATTATTTTGTTGCTTTATCTTTAAGGGATCACTGGGCAGATGAAAGGCATTTTCAGCTTTGGTACAGCTGAAAGACCAGCTATGACTTTAGTAGTGTCCTACGTTTTGTGGATCAGAGCTTTCTGTACAATGGACTATAAACAGCTTTGATGAAAGGGGGCCCGTTGCTCTTGAAGAGAAATGGCGGTATACTCTTCAATAACCACCATTCCCTCTGCAGGTCCCTGGGAAAGGCTTTCTTACTTGTGTCCTGGAAGTTGACGTCGTTGCCATTGTAGGCGTTCTTTAGTTTGTTGGTCATCACTCGGAGCGCCATGATCTGCTGCCGGATGAAGGTGTCGGGTCGAGTGATGTCCACATCCACCTCTGGGTTGTTGATCTGGTTGGTCAGCCCATCGTTCATGATCTCAGGCAAGTATCTGCCGGGCACAGAGGGAAAGAGCAGATGAGGGTGAGGCAGGAGGGACCTGGACGCTGGGTTCTGCTGTGCTGTTTCTAACAATGAGCCGAAACATCGGCTGCAGACTGGGCTGGATCCTGGGAAAAAAGGCTAAAGTGAAAACGGGAAAGAAATATTCTCGGAGGGAGATGTGGCCACAGTGGCTTCACAGTGGTTTTCTTTGGTTGGCTTGTCTGCAAGTGAAAGCCCAGTTGAGGACTCATAGAAATTATTACTTAAAATTAACTACTCTTTTTCTCTCTGTCCCGTCTATTAGATACTTAAGAACTTGATCACCTCCTCAACTTTCCTGTGCATTTCTCTAGTAACGACTAACCTTGTAAATTACAGATGATCTTATAAAGAATGCTCTTTCTCAGTGGAAGAGGCCCTGCCTCAAATTTTCATCAGAAGAACCTTCCAGATTAAAAAAATAATCCTTGGAAAGTTTGTGGAGTCACCAAAGATTGCTGGAATACTTGAGCTGTCCATTAGGGTTTTTATTTAGTAATAGAATTTTGGGTCTAATTTCATATTGTGCAAAACTGAAGATAAAAATCTAATGGTTCTTTAATTTTCTTATTTGTATCAAGATGGCAAATTTATATTGATACTTCTTTTACTTGTACTAAAATGCCGAAACGGTCAGTTCTTCAACAGCAACTGCTGAAGCTGCCTAGGCGGTTCCATACCGGGGAAGACCGCCTTGCTCAGAAAAGTCCTTGCAGCCCTTTCTGACGTCTTACTCTCCTGACCTGTCGCCTTCCCTTCCTCCTTCTCTTCTCACAAGGCTCCCCCCACCCGCTTCTCCTCTCCCAGTTCCCGGGGCCTCCCTGGACTACAGACAGCGGCAGCAGGCCTCCAGCCGACTTCCCTGCCCTGGCTTTCCTTTGTAGTGCCTTCTGCCCTTGACGTCTGATTCGTCTTCATAGAATATTGCCTTCATCACGTCCTCCTTCTGTTTCAAAACCTTTGGTGAATGTGTCTAATGTGCACCGACAGCTTACTACAGGCAGGTACTGTGCCAGGTACTTTGATGCGCATTTTAACATTCAATCTGCCAGCAAATCTAGGAGGTAGCACTATTTTATCCTCATCTTGTAAAGTAGAAAATGGGGGTTTAACGAGGAAAAAGTAACTGTGTATAGTCACAGAGCTAATAGACGACCAGCGATGACTACGGCTCCCAGCAGGCGAGCTTCAGAGCCCAACTACTGCACCACGATCCGCACTTTCTACCTCGGCAGTTGAAGCCCCTCTGCCACCTCGTCTCTAGTATCTTATGTTGCAATAGTCCCTTCAAGGGACCCTTCTTGCCTTACACAATCTGCTCCCCATATACCCCCAAAACTTGACTGTTCCTGTGTCATCTTTTCCTTGCCGACAACATACTTTCTCATTTAAGTCTCAAATATCTTGAAGACCCAGGTCAACCCTCAGTTCCTCCTGAAGATATTTTCCGGTTTGTAGGGATCTGCCTGTCCTTTTGTAGGGCTGCCAGGTCCAGCTGGGCATCTTGTGCACAGCGTGAAGTCACCTGCTGAGGGAGGTGACATTAAAAATCCAGCTCGAGTCCTGCGCCTGCAAAGCTGTGCCCCCATAGGGCACCGGTCACCAACAGGGCATCATTTATTTTTTAATTTTTTAAAAATCTTTTTATTTTAGAAAATTTTAGCAGATACCAAAGTAGAGACAATAATATAATGAATCCCATGTACACATCTGAGTGTGTTTTTCTAATACCTACTAAGGCTCTATATTTGTCAGTACTTTGGTGAGAAATGGGGGTGCACTCAAAGGGAATAAAGAGAGTTTAAAGAAGAGACTATTTATAGAGCTATAGACAGGGTTGAAGGAAACCAGCATAGGATGTCGAAGAGCCACGGGGCTGGAGAGTGGTGAGGTGTTTCCAAATGCACAAGAACTGAAATCACAGACAGGGGCCAAATAACAAGGCCATGGCCAAACCAAGACTCATCATGGGGGAAGGAGCCCAAGGAATGCTACCTTGACCTCTCTCACCCCTTCTTCTGGCTGCTTTCTCCCATTGGTTAAAAGCAAGTGGACGCCAGCAGACAAGGGGACCCTGGTGACGCAGTGGTGGGGGTCTCCTACAGGCACAGACCAGGGTGGAGGGCGGACCAGTGGGCATCATGTGGAACTGTGACACCGGCTCAGACAACTGGCAGGCTGGTGGCCGCCCTGCCTAACTGCTAGTCTTACCGTTGTTACTGCCTCTGTTATTGTTGCTTGAAAGCTGAAAAACACTCCCTTTCTCGTATTTTGTGTTTCATGTTTACATACTTGTGTACTCTACACTTACACTTAAAATTCTTCCCTTTCCTGCCGGCAATGTTTCAAAGTCCAGAAACAAAAGATGCTACCTGCCAGTCTCCAAAACAAGAAATAGAGACACACCGGGTAACTTATGTTGAAGCCATTTTTCAGCTATCGAACTCACAATATTTACTGCCTTAAAAATTGTCCTAATTGAAATGTTTACAAAGTCATGAAACTACATCATCTCTTTATTCTAGCAGCAGAGAACTTCTGGGCTGCCTTTTAATAGACCTGGTATTTCAAGAAATTCTTGTTGGATTCGGAGGTTGTCTTTCTGATATAGCTTCTGAAATGTGACATTGGATTGACTCTACCTGACATCCAGTTATATCTGCCGGGTTCCATGAACTCTCCCTAATTATTAAAATCCACTGGAATAAACAGTCACCAGTTCAGGCCAGCCTCTGCTGGTGCTGAAGTTGAGAGGGGGCTGAAAGGTGACCCTCGGTTCCGGCACTGCCCCTGGACATTTAGGACAATGATTCCTGCGGGTGGACCTATGCTGAGTCAGAGGAGAGCTTTGTTTCTGCCAGCTGCCGTGAGCTCTGCATGGCTGGCCGAGACTCATTTATCAGTCGCTGACTGCTATTGCTTACACTGGGAATGGTACCCCCGGGAGTCTGAGCATCCAGGAACAATAAGAGACTGCCACATGCACCCAGCCTCAAACTGTGCCTGCTGACGCTCAGCCGCTTATGATAAAAACAGGGAACAATGCACCTGTGTCCTCAAGAACCTGTTCTCCTTTCTGTGTATTCAAAGGGTAACTCCAGGGACTCTGTGGAAACAGAAACTGAAAAACACAGTAGAACAAGAAAAGGGCCATTTTTGTCACTGCACTGAGCATCCTGCAGTCAAATCTGTGGATGGCCAGGGCTTAGCTTGAACTATCAACAGGAGCCCAGGTTAGCACCGGGACTTACGAGCCCATTGATTTGTTGCCTCTCACATTTGCTACCTTTCTAAAATGATCAGATCCTGCAAGATTGGATGTGTCTTTGAGCTCATATTACTCTTCCCTTTGTTAGACTTTGCACCAGCTCTTTGGCATGACAGCATTCTATTTTTGTACCCTCGTGGTTCTGGGAAACATGGAAAGGAAGGGGAACCTTACTCCGGAAAGCTCAGCTCCCGAGCTGGATGTACATTTACCCAGGGCGGGGAGAAGGACCAATAGGGTTGTCATGGTGTGTGGATGTTTCCTGCTGTGGCAAGTGGGTGGGACCGTTGAACAGTCAAATATGGTTTCTCGTTTCAGTTACTTCTATTTTGCAATCACATGCACAGAAACGAAATCTCTGGCAGTTCTGCAGAATTCTGTTTCTTCACATCTGCTGTGGTCTGAATGTTTGTGCTTCCATCCAACTCCTAGGTTGAAAATCTAGTGCCGATGTGATGATATTATGAGGTGAGTCCTTTGGGAGGTGATCAAGCAGAGCTCTCATGATGGGGATTAGTGCCCCCACAAATGAGGCTCCAGAAAGCTGGCCGTGCCCCTTCTGCCACGTGAGGACACAGCAAGCCTGTGACCCAGCAGAGCGTCCTCAGCTGACCGCACTGGTCTGGAACTTCCAGCCTCCAGAAGTGTGGGAAGCACATTTCTGCTTATGAGATCCTCCGTCTGCGGTGTGTTGCTGTGGCCACCAGAACAGACCAAGACATGTGATTTCACATTGTTGGTGCAGGCTTCCTTGATCACATCCGAACATCATGGCAGACTGGGGTGGAAGAGCCCCAGGGGACTTTAGTGGGGCTCACACAGTCTACCTTGTGGGTGGCTGCAGGCTTTGTGCTAGAACCATCCCTGGCAGAGCTGACAGTCTTTGTCACCTGAGAGACATGCACCCTGAGAGACAAAGACTTGTCCCTATAGAAGGGTCCCACTGCCACTGCCGCCATCCAACACCACTCCTTTCAGTTGAGCTGATGTTTCTGAAAGACCCAGTTGCTATCTGAATGTGCTGGGAGGAGAGGCCTGTTCACTGATTAGTATTCAGTATCCTCATCACCACGTGAATACTGGTAGTTGTTCTGCTGCATGACGTTGCTGAGGGAGGGAAAGGGACCCACAACTCTTCAAGATCTAAAGGGGTGTGAAAGCCTGAGAAGCGAGGCACTTGTCGGAAAGGTCAGCTGGGCAGTGCCGGTGGGGTGAGCAAGATTCCCAGTGGAAGCTGGGCCAGGACTGGGGAGATGTGAGGCTCCTGGGGTCTGGCCTTGTTTGCCAGTGCCTGTCACTTCCTCTGGCTGCTCCTGCTTCCAGGCGCACGCCAGGGTGGCGGAAAGCAGTTTCCATTCTGTGTTGCCACAAATGAGCTCCGGTCAATACATGTCTTTATAGCGATTTTGAATTCTAAGCTTATAGATTCATTCACCTCCAGCACATTTAAGCGTTATACTGATATAAGTAGATGTGCTATTAATACAGGTCCAAAATTCCTTCTCTGCAGTTCCAAAATTAAAAAATCTCCAAAGTTCTTTTTTGGCAATTCATTTGTTACCAATCTTTGATCTGATCTGAACCAAGCCTAATGAGGGTCCTCCTTTATCCCATGTAGCGTAAATAGTCATACATTTTGCTGCAGACATTTAACATGTTTGATCTCGAGTTCCAGCCCCAGACTCTTCCGGGAGAACTCT